ATGTATTACACATAGTTAAGGAACTGAATCCTGTCTCAGTGGGAATGTTCAGATTTTCCTCTATTAAATTACAACAAATGTGTTAAACAACCTTGCATAAGACAAATAATATATAAAAAAGGATAAAAATTTAAAATAAGTACTTTGTAACTCCTGTGCTGAAGTAGCTTCTGTGTCCTGGAATTAAAAGTATTGAAAAAAATTGACTTGTTGAAAGTTTATTTGAGCAACACGCAGCTAAGATTTCTCCCTCCTCTCAAGGCCGTGTTAGTTTCTCCCGTTGACGTGTGTCTGCAGAGCAGATGGCTTCACCCATAAATCCTATTAACAACTTTCTGCTGATGGAGACACAGTCAATACAGGCTTTCTCATTCTTTTATCTCTGCTGAAAAAAAACWGCTTTTTATTTTTTATTTTCAACCTTTGAAAGGAAGGAGCCTAGTCTGGACGACAAATCATGTCTACAGAGAAGGTAAAGGATTGTTGGAACTTTGCTGATTAATTTTTTTTAATTTATTTTTATAATTTTGTGAAATCACTGTTTTTTTAATGAGGCATGAATAACTGTCTCAAATTAGTGATGTGGTATTTAGAAAAGCTGATCCTGAAAACATGCTGYCTGTTGAACTGCYTGTGTAAAAGTTTAAAATGCAGTGCAACACATTTGTTTAGCAGTTTCTGATTTGTTTAAATATGACTAAACAGGCATTTAGAAAATGCTTTTGTCAAAACTATGCTGTTCATTAACACAAGCAGACAAGGAATAGATCACCACTTGAGCCAATGCATCATAAACAATAGTTACATTGGGCCTAGGCCTTTAAATTAGTATGGTTTACAACTGTACATAAAATATGTATTTATAGAAAGTATCTTGAATTAAAGCTCACATTCACAGTGTTCTAAGTTCTAAGTCTCATTATTGAAGACATAAATTCTTTCTTAGAAAAATGGTAATTTTGATAAACTGCAAAATTACATTTTTAATACAGAAAATCATACCATTAGGACATTTATTTGCATTTCATTAAGTTTTGCATTACTATGGATTTTCTTTGATCACAGTCTTTGTGGATGTGTGACCTACATCTAATAGGATTACCTCCAGTGTTTCCRCCAGCCACAATCCCCCTGACCTTCTTCTTTGTGCTGTAACATGTTGGTCAAGTCATTTGGACAATATATTTGTGGTCCATAAGAGCACAAGAAGGGCTCACTTTTATGTGAAAATAATCACATAGATGATTTTTGGACATATTGATGGTCAGTCTTAAGGTTGTATCTTTAGAGCCCATTTTGGATTTGACCTGCAGCCATGTGTTCAGACTCTGAAAGAAGAAGTTAGTTTTTTTAAATAGTAAAAAAATAAAATTAAAWAAATAATTTCAAAAAGACTTCTTATAAACTTTTGTATTAGTACAATAAGCACCACTCCAAATATAGTAATAGCAACATGGTACAGTGGAGCCTATACTTCAGAAACTTGAAGAAATTGCATTTTTTGGATAAATAAACCCAATGACTTCTTATTCTTTGTTGTTATATCTAACATGATATTGTGTCCAGGCTTATCTACAGGTGTGATACCTAGTGTGGGTTTGTATCATAAAGGTGGTAATAGATATAACTTCGTAGAAACAAATGTGCATTTATCAGATTGTGTCAACATGCAGCATTGTATTTATCTATAACTTTTTTTTTCATAATTAGAAATAGTTACGACAATTTCTCAACATCTTTCTTTCTGTTTTTCTAACCCTTGCTTCACTTCCTGTTTGACTTTGTTATGGTGAGTCACTGATTTCCACTTTAGTAAATCTTTTAGAACATTTGGTTTTCTGCTCTCATGTCTGTTTAGATAAATCATAGTGTGATTTTATTATTATTATTTTGGTTCAATTTTCAAAGATCTTCCATAGAAGCCCAAAAAGAAGAAGGAGCAGGCCAACGGGGCAGCAGAAACCAAACTGAATGGAACTGAGGCAAAAACCAAAAAAACAAAAACTAAGAAGAAGGAAGAAGCAGCTGAGGAGGAAAGTTCCACTATTCAAAGTGAGGATATTTATGAATAGAATAGAATAGAATAGAATAGAATAGAATAGAATAGAATAGAATAGAATAGAATAGAATAGAATAGAATAGAATAGAATAGAATAGAATATTCAAAGTAAGGATATTTATGAACAGTATACATATTATTTTAAACGGTCTCTACCATGATTGAACACTTACAATTCTTTAACTTCATAGATGGAAAAAAGGTAAAGAAAAAGAAACCAGAAAAGGAGAAAGAAGAACCAAAAAAGGAAAAAGAAAAAGAAAAAAAGAAAGCCAAAAGTGCTCCAAAAAAGAAGAAAGGTAAGCTGTCAAAGGAACTTGATGGATACAGCAGTACAGTTTGCAGGCAAGTGCTTGCACAAACTGTTAGCTTTGCTCCCTAATGTTTATTCTTTTTACATTTAACAAACTGTATGAGGGCCAAGATTTCAAAAAGACTAAAGTTTTATAGGAAGAAGCAAATTGTTTAGTAGTTTGAGAAAAGTTTTGAATTTCTTTCAGTAAGTGTTTGCTTCACTCCAGGTTCAGACACAGAGAATGACGATGACGACGACGACGGCGACGATGACAATACCCCTAAAAAGAAAACAAAGAAAAAAACAACAAAGGACAGCTCTCCATCTGCGAGCTCTGCCAAGGAGAAAAAACCCAAATCTAAAGGTGAGAGGTGGATTTTTAACAGCACATTCCTGCAGTTTCACAGCATCCCTCCCACGACAATCATGTTCATGTTGTCATTTAGCAGCAAACCTCTGATAATATTGATCAGTGAACTGTTGATCAAGGCTGTCACGTAGTTTCAGAAAACATTTTTATAATTTATTTATTTCCTTGTTTGAGATTAGAAAGCAGAAACAATCTTCAGAGCAAGTAGCGTTATGTAAAAAACTTGGTGATTGTTAAAGAGTCAAAACTCTGCCTCTTGTTTCTAACATTACAGAGCATGCATTTTTGATTTTACAATTTCCTCTTAGTCTGTTTCACCCACACTTCTAGTTAGGATCGCCCATGAATCATGTCTGTTTTGTAAGAGTATTGGAAGAAACCCAGAGCTTTGTGGCTACAAGGCAGCCGTGCCAAACGCATCACTTTGTCGCCCGAGGTAGTTACAGTGCTTTTTAAACAACGATTAAATCACCAGATTGTAGGTAAGAGGATTAGATTGTTTTATTGTGTAATAGAGAGTGAGCAGAAACACTGAGTTGGCAGCAGGAGAAACACAGCAAAAATAATTAGGGCATCATTAGTGGAAATTTAATTAAAATGTCCAGTCATGAATCCAATTTCTTTATCTGCTTTTTTTTTTTTCATTTCTGGGGTTTGGTAGCTCCAGTTTAGCAAATTAACCTTTTTTTTCTTTTCTTTTCTTTTCTTTTCTTTTCTTTTCTTTTCTTTTCTTTACTTTTCTTTTCTTTTGGTGGAAAACGTAGTCTGGGTAAAGCAGGTAATGCTGGGTCAAACCGATCACCCCTGCTGAGTTAAAACTTCTTGGCTCAATCCAAATGTTTACCAGCTCTCTAATGTGCTAATCAGCTCCTCTTAAAATTTGCAATGAAATTAGCTAAAAAAGGAAACATTTCTTAAAATAAATCTAATTCTTTTAGAACGGTTTAGTTTATATTGTTAATCTCTGTCATTCTAAAAGTTTACACAGTCTCAAAGATCCTTCCTCTGATTTTAATTATCCCCATAACCTCCATGTATTTGTTGCTCCAAACTAACAAATTTGTGAACTGTTAGCACTAACGTCCCTTTTATTTCTGAGGAATTTCCCAAAGATTTGCAATTTACATTCAAAGTTTTCAATTATTTGACGTATCCTTGGGCAATTTCAACCAAATATTCCTTTCAGCCTTGATGTCACGCTGTTGCTTATTTCTGCTAGTTGAAATGAAACGTTATCGGAAGAACTCTTGAACTCAGTTTGTTTTTTTTTCTCCTCCGACCAGCAGTCGTTTCAGAAAACTTGTTCCAACTTGTCTTTGTGACTTGGAAAGTGAAGCATTGTGCTTCTAAGAACCTGCCTGGAACCACGATGTGTTTGAAGCAGAATCGACAACAGTTGACAGCATGTATGGGAAAGAGCTCAACCCAGAGGGCAACATATTAAATTAATGGGAATCTATATTTTACCCTCAGGGTTGATCTGTCTTTATTATACCTGCTGTGATTTATTTATTTATTTATTTATTTATTTATTTATTTATTTATTTATTTATTTATTGTAATGCATGCCTAAAGTCTTCTGTTTTAAGCAAAATGATCATTATATTTTGTTTTTAAATTGTCCAGTTGAATTATCTTCCGCAAATTGAGTATTTTAAAAATAATCATTGATATTCATAAAGTTGCGCTGACAATCAGCAAGATACCCCTCAGAAATAAATGTGACACATAAAGACATATTTTTATTGTATTTTTTTTTCTGAGTTTGAGGAATGAGTCTTTGATGCAGTAAATATAAGTTCTTAGTTCTCCTTCAATAAATAATGCAACTTTCATGGCAACGTAACTGGAAGGAGGTTCAGGTTTGTGTTACTTTGTTCTCTCAGTGTTTGCTGCTCCAGTGTGACACCAAGTGGTAAAAATCTATTGTGCGTATGTGTGTGTGTGCGTGTGTGTGTGGGGGGGGGGAGTGGGGAGGGTTAAGTCGGTGGGAGGAGGAGGGCAGGAAGACGTGGGAGATTTATTTGTAGCTGGAGAGCAGGTTGAGATATGGTTGATTTATTAATGCATTTAGGTCTGTGGTGTAGGCTAAAATAAATTTGAAGCTGAGTTTTTGAAAGAAAAAATAACAATAATCCATGAGATTGCCCTGTGCATCCATTTACCTGCAAAATGGGGGGATATTCCTGTAATTTAGCTACAAGTTAACATGTATGCATTGGATACAGGTTGTAGTGAGCATTAAGAATTAATTTGTTTCCGTGCTAAACCATGCTGAAACCAATTCATTAGTGGAACAGGTTTTAAGAGCAGGTTCTGACAGTATCGTGGGTGTAATTTTGAGGACAGGACATAGGGTATGGATTTGAGAGAGAATGTTATATATATTTTTTAATTCTTCTTCACATACTGAATGCACTTGAGATGTAGTAGCCCATGTAATAAAAATAATTAAATAAAAAAGTAGTAGCTTGTGCAACTAAGTGTTGGGAATAATAACTATACTACAACACCAAGCTTTAGTTCTTTAAAAGTATAGTTTTTTTATTTTCTTATTTGATTTATTTTGTATTTTGTATGTCAGTTGGCTGTGGCCATCATAAACGAGTTGACTCCAGATTTTAACTAGCTGTAGATTTACATCCTGTGATTGATTTCTGATTTTCTTTTCTTTTAAAATCCAATCACTGGTTCATACAAAGTGCTGCTAACAAACAGCAATGGCAAAGTTTTAAACACTAGAGTGTGTTGGAGTTGAGTGTCAGGTCCCACCAAATTTGGGATCAATATCTGTTCATTGTGCTTATGTATAAATATATATCTTTTTCCTTTTTTTAATTGATCTAATACTGTTTTCTTAGACCCCGTAATGTTTTTTTCTATCATTTCTGTTCTATCATCTATACTGTGACTAGGAGAGAGGCCCGCACAAGAATTCCAATGTGTGTAAACTTCTAGTATATGCACAAGTGGCAAATAAAGATCTATCTATCTAGCGGGAAAAATAAGTATTGAACACGTCACCATTTTTCTCAGTAAATATATTACTAGAGGTG